TAAAAACAGAAATTCTATTCAGAATTATGGATTCTGAGTAATTTACATGTGCCTAGTGGAACTCTGGACTAGAGGAACACGTTGTTCCTTGAAGATGTGGCAAGACAATTCTTTAATATTTGGCAGTTTTTTGTAAAAAATATATTTTATTTTCATGATTTGTCATACAGTAAAATATTATATTGCATATGAAATTTTAACAAATCCAGCTAAATATAGATATTTGCAAAAACAAATTATTTTTTCAATTTTATATACAATATTGATACTATTAGAAAATATTGATACTATTAGAAGGATTATAAAAAATATCAAATCTATTATATTTTTTATAAAAATATAAAATAAAATATTTTTATAAAAATTAGAAACAAACAAAAAAAGTAAAACAATTTAAAGAAAAAATGAAATGGAATGCCACATTGCAATAAAATTACACTCTTGTTGGAAAGGCACTACGGAGTATTATTTTCTCTATGCATGTGAGTGTGAGTCATACCGACTACTATTAGTTAACTAAGAACTATATGGAGTGTAATTATTTCAAAAAAGGCGTAATTATTGTATAGAAATTGCTCTAAATAGGAGCAAAAACGTTTTGAAATTCCAAAATAGGAGTATCATGTTTTTTATTCCATGAATAAGAGTAATCTGCCAAGTTTGGGAAAAAATGTCATGTTTTAAAGTCTGGTAATGTCAAACTTGGCAGAAATTTACTCCTATTCAAGAAATAAAAAACATGATACTCCTATTTTGGAATTTCAAAAATTTTTTACTCCTATTTAGGGAATTCTCTCATTATTGTATGGGTGGGCGGGGCATGGGTTGTAAGTTCAATTCGGAAGAGGCTTTCCGAATCCCGTATTCTTATATCCTAAAATGAACTCTCGTTGTTTTGCATTTTATACACAAAACTACCGTCTTTCTGTTATTTTCCTCTGATTAAAAAAAGAAATTTTTCATGATATGATATTCTCTTTTAAGGGTTAACGGAACCAGTCATATTTAATTTTTAAAGAGATTAAAAAAAGCTACACCCATTGGTTCGAAAATTTAATTAAGAAATTATTCAAAATATTAAACAGTAGTAAATTTATAAAACAGGACTACGTATAACGTTTTACTCCACAATTTTGATTTATTTAATCCTATTAAAACAATAAGTTGATTAAAACTTTAGAAAATATGAGTAAAAAAAACCTTGGGAGTAAAACGTAGACCTAATTAACTAACTATTTATAAATTTTGTTTAATTTTTTTACTCATATTTTAATTAAGGAGTTTTCTCGGAGTATGAATTAATAATAGAAATGGAGTGTACGTAGGAGTATAATACTCCCTCCGTCCCAAATTGTTGTGCAAAGTCAACATTTTTTGGACACCCAATAATAAAAGTCAATGCTCTATATCAATAATTCATTCAATTTTTAATAATTAAAAATTACATATTCAGAAACTACATTAAAATCTCTTCAAAGTTGCAAACTCCAAATTAGAATATAATTACAAATTGACATCCTAATTAAGCCAATAAAATGAAAGGGTTTGAACAAGAACAGTCAAATTTGCAAATCAATTTGGGAGGGAGGTAGTAGTATATAACAATAGAAGCAATATAATCAATAGCAGCTAGTACAAAGAAAATATATTATATTAATGGATCAATAATTACGAGTGTAGACTATGCATAAATTAGAAGACTGAAACGCCTTATGTACCATGCATGATGCATATATACGGAGTAAATACAAGTAATATACTCCATATATAAATTAAATACTACTAGTACGTAATTCCTATAATATAAGCTAGCCAGCCAATCAGACCTTTGATTTCCTAATATACGGGAAATTTTCTAGGGTTTCCAAAAAGGGGAGTCGGAAGTGGGAGTTCCGACTTGGGGAAGGGTTTTAAAAAAAAGGGAAATTCTTTGTGTTTTTATTATTTGATTATTTAATTCTCGTTTAAAAATGTTAACTGTTTTCTAAAATAGAAATGGAAACCTTTATATGAAACGTACAATAAAGGCATTATTATATTAATAGCTATTATTATTAATTTATTATAATTATTATTGATATTATTATTATTTTATTATTATTATTATTATTGATATTATTATTATAATAATTATTATTAGTATTAATATTATTATATACCGGTTTATAAAGTTAATATAAGATCAGAAGGATTCAGATCAGATAAGATCATATCAGATCAGAACCATTCAGATCAGATCAGATCATAAAGATTCAGATCAGATTAGATCTTAAAAAATTCAGATCAGAACCATTCAGATCAGATCAGATCATAAAGATTCAGATCAGATTAGATCTTAAAAAATTCAGATCAGAAACATTCAGATCAAACGAAGAGAACAGCTTCTAAGACGTCCAATTTATATATATTTTTGAAAGGGGTACAATTTAATTATTAATTGAAAATAATTTTATTTTTGTATGACTAAATAAAAATTAAAAGTGCCACTTGGAACTCCATCATGCGAAAGGATAACAAAAAAATTTAAAAACTTGATTTGGAAGAGCATCTTCCGAATGGGGAATACAAAAAGAAAAAAAAATGGTTTCGGAACATGTGTTTCTGAATGGAGATACACCATATTTGAACCCTAATCTATTCAGAATAAGTTCTTCCGAATTTCGTTTTCTTAGAAATGGTACATTTTTCCCTGTCTTTTTGCCATGGATGTTAACTTTTCCCGTGTTTTAAGAAAAGACCCCAATTCGGAAGAGGCTTTCCGAATCCCGTATTCTTATATCCTAAAACGAACTCCCGTTGTTTTTCATTTTATACTCAAAACTACCGTCTTTCTATCATTTCCCCTGATTAAAAAAAGAAAATTTTCATGATATGATATTCTCTTTTAAGGGTTAACGGAACCAGTCATATTTAATTTTTAAATAGATTAAAAAAAGCTACACCCATTGGTTCGAAAATTTAATTAAGAAATTATTCAAAATATTAAACAGTAGTAAATTTATAAAACAGGATTACGTATAACGTTTTACTCCACTGCCGATTGAGCTTCTGATTTTCAGAGATAAAGGGAGTCTACTTCATTGCGAGGAATCCTTGGTGCTATTGATCTCAAATGAGTTTTATATTAAACTTAAATGAGTATACGCCTAAAAGGGATGAAAATACGCCTAAAAGGGATTAAATCATCATCATCTAGGGATTGACCGGGTCTGGGCCGCCCGACCCGTGTTCTTGCTTTTCGTGAATTTAATTATCAACACACCGCTGATAATATTTATACAAAAATGATGTTTGTACACACTCTTATACACACTTTTGTACACACCTATGTCTGTGAAAGCTTTTTTTGTCTGTGAACATCGATTCATAGACAATGTTTTGCACAAACAAAATATTGTTTGTGAACCGGATTCACGGACAAAAAAAAAGCTTCACAAACATGGTGTGTATAGGGTGTGTACATCAAGCATGGTTGTTATTTATATTCTTATTGAGCGTATTTTAATTGAGTATAATTTGATTGATAAGGTGTTTGTCATATGTTTTGATAATGCTAGTAATAATACTGGTGTTATACCTATATTGCGTGAATTGTATGGTTCTTCTACTTTGATGGGTATGTACTTACCCGGGCCGGTTCCGGGTCCAACATTTCAAAAAAAGAAAAAACCCGGTTGGGCCCGGACCGGGCCTGGTCCATCCCTATCATCATCATCCTCATCATCATTATCATCATCATCCTCCTCATCATCACTATCATCACTATCATCATTATCCTCATCATCCTCATGATCAACATCATCCTCATCATCAGCATCATCATCATCATTATTGAACAATGAGTTATATTATTCAAAATGTTGACTTCTAATATTCTTCAATCTATGAGGTTATGCATTCAGAATGAATGTATGTTTAGGGATGAAAAACAATTCAATAACATAGTGAGTTGAAAATATTATTCAAAATGTTGTCTTCTAGTATACTTCAATCGATGATGCTCTACGTGTAGAGATAATATATGTTTTTATCAAAATACATATTATGCTTTTATCCAAATGAGTATTATATTTATTTTTAAAACCAATACTATGTATGAATATTATTATTATCATCATCATCATCATCATTATCGTCATCATCATCATAATCATCATTATCCTCATGATCAACATCATCCTCAACATCATCATTATAGAATAGTGTATTGAATATATTATTCAAAATGTTGACTTCTAATATTCTTCAATCTACGAGGTTATGCGAAAATGTATGTTTAGGGATGAAAAACAATTCAATAACATAGTGAGTTGAATATATTATTCAAAATGGTGTCTTCTAGTATACTTCAATCGATGAGGTTCTACGTGTAGAGGTGAATATAAGTTTTTTTATCAAAATACATATTACACTTTTATCCAAATGAGTATTATATTTATTTTTAAAACCAGTACTATGTATTTGACACTTAATATTATTAAGTGTAATAATAATAATGTAATAATAATGCAATATTATTTAAGTATTCAAAATTAATGCAATAAAAAACGTTTTTTGTCTTAAAAAATAGTTATAGTAATAATAATGTAATAATAATATTATCATTGAAATTATTATTTAAGCATTCATACCTTGTCACTTTTTGTTATTATTTAATCCTGTTATTACTATCATTATTGATAAAATTGCTATCATTATTAAATTATGATATTATCAAAAATATTATCGAAAATGTATATTATTTAAATATTAGCACAACCTTACACTAGCGAAAATAAATCTGAACTATTATTATTATTATAAATAATTCCAAATATATAATCAAAAGAGTAGTGGATTAAAATGTTATTCTAATAATTTTAGTTAGTATATTTATCTTCAAATATTGCATTGTAGTGACGGTAAAACTTACTCATAATAACTTATTGTCACATTTTTGTGCATAAATTTTTATATGTAATATTTAGGGCTATTTTCCCATAGAAATTACTAAACCAATATATAGAATAAACAAACTTCATAATAACGAATTGCGTGTGGTCTGCTTCTGCCTCAATCAACAATGTGAATTGTATTGTCCATCCCTGTCATCAAATATAATTCCCAGAAAGACCCATAACTCATCTCAAATTACTACTACAACCTACCCACTCTCTGCTACTAATATGTAATAACTCGTGTATTCTCAAGCTAAAGCTACTACAACCTACACGCTCCCCGCCATTCCCCAGCCACTAAACTCATCAAGATAGAACCTTTATGGAACTCCCGAAGAACTTTCTCATAGAAGTCAGAACATCAGTGATATAATTGGAAGGAGAATCATCAAATTTAAAAATGTCAAATTTAAAAATGTCACCCGTCTTCATAATCTTCTAGGTATGGAATCAACATATCCTGTGGAATGAATGAAATGACACAAAAAATAGTCAGTATGTAACATACTAAAACTGCAGCAATTGCAGAAATACAAATACAGTTACAAGTAAAGTCGGCAACAAAATATACTCCAGACTAAATGAGAAAATGTGTGCAGGGCATTGACATTAACCTAGAACTACATATGAAATCTATAGAAGATAGCAATTCCTAAAAACAAATATTGACATAAACTTAGTATATACATAGATCATAAACTTACTGTATACTTAATTACATATCTTCTTACACAGGCATGCTGACATGTAAACTAGCATGCTTTCAACAACAGAAAAGCTATGAACTGGTTAGGGTTTCGTAATGTATACAGTTGGGACCCCGTTCAAACCAAATGCACCTAAAGATCGACCATTTTCCAATACAATGCCAACATCCGATTGGCATCAGCTTTCAGATGTGTTTTAATTGTTTAATTTCATACTTGTGATCATCAGTAGCAACTGATTGTGCACAACCAATTAGAATAGTCCCTAGCTCTACAGCTTTATTACTAGTAGTATCTCCCTGCTGCTTCTTTACACCATATTCCCTTTCCCACTACTTCAGGTAAAAGTTGATCTCCCCCATCATCAGGCACATTAAATAGTGTGACATAATTAAATTGCAGAAATATGTATTCATTTAAGAATTAGTACTAATCTTTACAAGAAGATCTAAAGGTTAATACTTATTCAACTTGTAGCAAACACTTGACTAAAAGACTAGATTAACAAACAGAAAGACGAATCACTGGATACTTCGAAACTAAACTTTTTCTTTTTCTTCACCATAAGTATTAGCTGACATTTTCAGGACAGTGGAAGTTTACTATTTCAGTTAACTTTTTGGTTTCTTTGTTCACACATCTTAATTTTTTTAAATGATATGTTAATGTTGGACTTACTTCATAGACAATCTGTGAGATAGCATTTACATTTAAAGGTTTTACTTTTAACTTTTGTTGTCTCTCAATGAATACCATTCTTAAATTAAATTTGACCTATAGTTTGGGATGGATGAGGTGCAGTACATTTTCAATTTTCACTTTATGAACACAATTTACCAGTTTTATATAATAAGAGAGAGAGAGCTAACTAGCAAGGATGAGGAATTACACATTAAAATGCAGAGTCAACTGAAATGCTGGAATGTTTTAACATGGGGATGGCATAGCTGGACTATTTGAAAGTTAGATTTTGTTTATCATGCTATGCTGCAATAAGCTTATCAATTAACATCGGGGTGAAAAGAAACACACAGAACCAGCTCAAGAGATAACTCAGACGTGCACCTGGGCTGGGATCCTGGAAAATAATAGCAGACTGAGAGAGCCCAAGCAAGGCCTGATAAAACGCATTCAATGAATACCTAATCAAGACTGAGAGAACAAAACTATGTACTAATAGTCTAAAACCAGAAACCATTCTATCAAGAACTGAAAAAATAGTTCTGAAAACTAATGAATCAGAAAACAAAACAGATACAACAAAAATGCTAACTTGAAACCAGGCATTCAATTACGGAGCAATAAGCAATTGTTGCTTATCAAGCAAAAACAAAAGAAGAGGAAAATCCCTTCTGTTAAATAATAATAAACAAATAGCTAGACTCTCAAATAATATTGGTACAAATATACCATGTACTGCACTCTAACAAACTGGTATCAGAGCAAGATGATCTGCGTACTCTGGAATTCCAAGAACGACGAAGGCGATGAACAATCTCACATCAAATCTCCCTAATCTCGACGGCAAGAATTGGCCATGATGGTCCATACAAATGAAAGTTTTGTTTGGCTATCAAGATGTCCTTGAGATAGTGGAAGGATGATTTCCGGTTCTGGCCGAGAGATCCACAGAAGCGGAGAAGAGTGCTTTCGCTGAGAACAAGAAAAGAGACTGCAAAGCCATGTTTCTGATTCAGCAGTGTGTTGACAACGCTCATTTTGAGAAGATTGCCAATGCAACGAATGCTAAGGAAGCGTGGAAAATCCTGGAGGACAGCAATGAAGGAGCTGATCAATTGAAGAAGGTGAAACTTCAATCCATGCAAAGACAGTACGAATTGATGCAGATGGAAGTTAATGAAAAGGTAGATGACTATGTGAATCGCATGATTTCACTAACGAATGAAATGAAGCTATGCTGAGAGAAGATGACTGAGCAAAATATTGTTGAAAAAATATTAAGAACCCTACCTCCCAGTTTAGATCACATAGTGGTAGCGATTGAGGAATCTAGGGACCTTACAACGTTGAAATTGGAAGCACTAAAAGGTTCCCTAGAAGCCAATGAACACAGAATTCTGGAAAGAAAGTCTGATAAAGCCACAGATCATGCATTGTCTGCTCAGACTACCAAGAAACCATTCACTGGGAGATGAGGCTTTCATGGTAGGCGCAGAGGAAGAGGTAGGGTAGAAGCAATTATGGACAGTAGAATTACACTCATGATCAACACAAGAATGATCAAGAAGGAGCTGAAACTTCCTACAAACGTGGTGGTTTCCATCAAGGTAGAGGTGGAAAGAAGAAGATTGTTAGGAGGAAGATAAAATGCTTCAATTGCAATAAGATTGGGCATTTTTCAAATGAGTGTAGAGCACCTGCCCAGAATGATCAATCTGAGAATGAAAGACAACGTGATGAAGCTAATCTGGCACTGGTTCTGATGAAGAACCTGTAACTTTGATGATGACAACACACATGGTGGAAAATAATGACAATACCTGGTATTTGGACTCAGGGTGTTCAAATCATATGACAGGTCACAAGAATTGTCCGGTTAACTTTGATCATTCCGAGAAGATGATAAGAACCTCCAAGAATCCAGAACAATTACAGAGATGAATAAGAAACACAATTGAAAAGCTTTATTGAATCCAAGAATAACAGTAATCGTAACAATGGTTGAAGCCCCCAATGGCCGAAGCCCCAAAAGATAGAGAGAATTAGTCTCCGATCTTTCCCAGTCCCAAGACAGAATGTCCAAAAGCCTCCTTACTAACTCCCCCTTCCCATCTATTTATACTAGAGTACTCCTAGACCTTTATTACTACTACTATTATTATTACTACTATTACTAGTCTAATAAGTGGGTTCCTATCAATACTCCCTCCCTAAACAACCACCTTGTCCTAAAGGTGGGGAGATAGGAACCTAGCTTGGAATTCAGCTTCCTCCTGGTGCCTCTCCCCTCCCAATATCTAGCTGGTGGTGGTGTCATACTTTTCCAAACTTCTAGTCCTCTATATGAAAAACTCCTGACCAGCCTCAGCCTAGCATTTGCTTCTGACTTCACCCTATCTCTTGATTGAACTTCACACTGAATATCTCATGCAGAACTTCATTAACACACATGTCAGAAGAAGGTTCAAGAGAACTTGAGTCAGACTGTGTTTCTATATTTGAATTTAAGAATTCAACAATCTCCAATTGTATTCCCCACTCCTGATCCCGAAGTAGCATTTGTTCCATGATATTGCACTCCTTTCTATCAAACTTAAGACTAGGCCCATTCCTTTTGTAAACTGCACCCATCAGCATCAATACTTGACCATTCATCTTCATTTCTTTCACCCTTGAAATTCCTCCCCATTCCCATAGTTCCCGCTTCTTGCTTTGAATACTTATCCTGGTATTAGGATCAGGAGAAACTCCGCTCACAGTTTTGACGTCATCAATGGGTAAAGGTTTCAACCATAGTAACAGAAGATCTGGTGAATCAATAACCAATTCTTCACGATGTTGTCGTGGTTTGGTCCACATTTGCCTAACATAAGGTAAAATGTGAACATCCAAAGGCTGTATGCTACCAGGAGCCCTAATAACTGGAGTTTGCTGGTAACTCTTTGGGTTCAACCTCTGTAAAAACCTTGTGAAGACTTTATAAACCTCAGGAAGTAATAGGTTATGAGCTTTCATTGCATAGATGTCTCCCAACAATTGATAACTTTCATTTTCTCTAAGGGAATTATGTAAGTTAGACTTGGGGTAGTCTGACATGCTCTCAATCCATGGCTGTAATTCTGCTTGTTGTAATTCGATGTGTTGGCCATGGCTAGATTTATCAGCAACATTAACCTGTGAGCGGTTTCCCCGGGTGATAGCAGATTCTTCAGAAAAAAAATAAACATGATCCTTATGAATCTTTGGATCAGACTTTTCAGGAACCATTAGGACTCTTTCCTCCATGATTTCATCTTCCTTACTCCTTTGCTTGATTACAGGTTCAGTTGGTTCCATCTTGATTACAGGTTCATTTGAAACTAATGATTCAATTGGATTCCATCTTGATTCGGAAACCTGGGACAAAAGTTTTGATGACATCTGCAAATCAGTAAAAGTTCTTTCTGATGACGATCGAAGATGATGATTAATTAGCGAGCTGGTCAAAGCGGTACTCGATTTCAAACATGGAGTAACATTAATTCCCTTAGAAGATTGCGAGCTGGAAGTTCTTCGTGACTTGGATGACTCCTGTTTTGCTGTCTTCCCTTTGCCATCTTCCCTGTCTTCTGTCAGTGTCTAGGTGGAAAATCCCTAATCAAATCTTCTTTTAGTGCCTCCCAACTGTCTTCTCTCTTTTGAAAATCCCACCATTGAAACCAGCCATCTGCTTCTTCCCCCATAGCCTTCGCTGCCATGTCCACTTTAAATCTTTCTGCAATAGCTTGGACTCGGAAATATCTTTCCATCCTCCCAATCCATTCATATGCTTCATGCTCGTAGAATAGAGGTAATTCCTCCTTCTTTGAAATAGCCGATTTCCGAGAATTGACTTTTGACGAGGAAGGTGAACTGTGAAAATCCTTTGGCGACGAATATGATGATTCTCCCCCTAGCTTCGTTCTTGAACGCATATTGATATCTGAGGAGCAAGTCTGTGAGTAGAGACTGCGAAATATGAGAAGTTCGCAATTTCATCTGCGAATTCGTCGGTGATAGCGGCTCATGGCTGAAGTTCCTCGATCGATCTCCAGGTCTTCAGCGAAGACTCTGTTCTTCTGATTCCTCTGAGTCAATCGGATGTTGCGTACGTCGATGAAGAGAGTCGTGATGCGACCTATGCGATTTGTGTGATCGATTCCGCGAACAACTTTTAAGTCGATTCTGCAATTCTGTGATGCCAGCTTGCATCGTCGCTTGCATATCAGCCATCATCGTGGCTAACCTAGCGTTTGACTCCCTCATCAGTCGGTCAATATTATCAAAACTCTCTTCCATTTGAGGTGTCATGTAGAAATCCTCCTCCATGCTTCAAATTCTCCGTCTCCAGGAAGTAAGTCTATGATACCAATCATAAGAACCTCCAGGAATCCAGAACAATTATAGAAAGATGAATAAGAAACACAATTGAAAAGCTTTATTGAATCCAAGAATAACAGTAATCGTAACAATGGTTGTAGCCCCCAATGGCCGAAGCCCCAAAAGCTAGAGAGAATTAGTCTCCGATCTTTCCCGGTCGAAAGACAGAATGTCCAAAAGCCTCCTTCCTAACTCCCCCTTCCCATCTATTTATACTAGAGTACTCCCAGACCTTTATTACTACTACTACTATTATTATTACTACTATTACTAGTCTAATAAGTGGGTTCCTATCAGAAGAGTAAGGTCAGATTTGCAGATGATAGACTGATTGCCTCTGAAGGAACTGGTGTTGTTGTCATCAAGAGGAGTAATGGTGCTGATGCCTTCATTACAGATGTTCTTTTTGTGCCAGGTATGAAGAGTAATCTGTTAAGCCTTGGAAAGTTGCTTGAAAAAGGTTTCATTGTGCATATGTAGAAAGGGCAGAAAGGGACACTGGATGTATTTGATTCATTTGGAAAACTGATATTTAAAGTTCCTATTTCCAGTAATAGGACTTTCCAAGTACAAATTTCAGCAATTGAGTCTAGGTGTTTAGTCTATGAAACTGTTGATCAATCTTGGTTATGGCATTTTAGATTTGGACACCTGAATTTCAGAGATATAGTGAAATTGAATAATCAAAATATGGTCAATGGTCTGCCATCCATCAAATCTCCTGACAAGCTGTGTGATAATTGCTTGATAAGCAAACAAACCAGGAATTCATTTTCTGCATCTACAACACCTAGAGCTACTCAATTGTTGCATGTGGTTTATTCAGATGTATGTGGGCCTTTTGAGACTAATTCCTTAGGTGGAAATAGATACTTTGTATCTTTTATTGATGAATTGAGCAGGAGAATGTGGGTTTATCTGATGAAGACTAAGAATAAGGTTCAGAGTATTTTCAAAGACTTTAAAAACCTAATTGAGAAGCAATCAGGTCATTGCATCAAGATATTTAGGACAGATGGAGGTGGTGAATTCTGTTCTAATGACCTGGAGTCCTTTTACAAAACTAATGGAATAATTCATGAAGTGACTGCCCCATACACTCCACAGCACAATGACATAGCTGAAAGGAGGAATAGAACTGTGCTAAACATGGTGAGAAGCATGTTGAAAGGAAAGGGACTGCCTCATAGCCTTTGGGGTGAAGCTGTATCAACAGTTGTTTATATACTCAACAGATCACCAACAAGGAGAGAAGCAATGCTTACCTGCTACATATCTCAAATGGAACCTATGACTGTGGAAGAAGCTCTTGCAGACTCTGATTGGATCAATGCTATGAAAGAAGAGCTTACTCAGTTTGAAAGGAACAAGGTATGAGAACTTGTTTTCTAGGCCAAAGCACCAGAATGTCATTGGAACCAAATGGGTATTCAAGAACAAAGCTGATGAAGATGGCAACATTGTAAGGAATAAAGCTAGGCTGGTAGCCAAGGGATATTGTCAAGAAGAAGGAATTGATTTTGATGAGACTTTTGCACCAGTTGCCAGACTTGAAGCCATCAGAATCTTTCTAGCCTATGCTGCTTACAACAACATCAAGGTCTACCAGATGGATGTCAAAAGTGCTTTTCTGAATGGAGATCTTGAAGAAGAAGTTTATGTGGAACAACCACCAGGTTTTGTCATTCCTACTCACTCCTCCTGTGTCTACAAGCTTAAAAAGGCCCTCTATGGTCTTAAGCAAGCTCCCAGAGCATGGTATGACACATTGTCACTCTTCCTAGTGAACCATGGGTTTACTAAAGGAAAGGTTGACAAAACTCTATTTCAAATCTCTGTTGCTAATCATATTCTGTTAGTACAAATATATGTTGATGATATTATATTTGGTAGTACGAATCCAGAATTGTGCAAGAAATTCTCTCAAGTGATGCAGAGTCAATTTGAAATGAGCATGATGGGAGAACTAAGCTACTTCCTAGGTCTTCAAGTGAAACAAATTCCAGAAGGAATCTTCATCAACCAAGGAAAGTACACCAGAGATCTAATCAAGAAGTTTGGAGTGGAAGGCAAATCATCTGTAAAGATTCCCATGAACACATCACAAGGAATTGGTCCAGATGATGAAGGAAAGGATGTGGATGCAACAACATACAGAGGGATCATAGGATCTCTGTTGTATCTAACTGCAAGCAGACCAGACATCTCATTTTCTGTTGGAATCTGTGCCAGATACCAATCAAAGCCCAAGGAAAGCCATCTAAGTGCTGCAAAGAGAATCATCAGATACATCAAAGGAAATCCAAATGCAGGCCTATGGTATCCAAAGGGAGGTAACTTTGAACTAATTGGTTACTCTGACTCAGATTTTGCAGGTTGCAGACTAGACAGAAAGAGCACCTCTGGTCACTGCCAATTGCTAGGAGGAAGGCTTGTTTCCTGGTTTAGCAAGAAGCAGAATTCAATCTCAACAAGTACAACTGAAGCTGAGTACATTGCAGCTGGGAGTTGTTGTGCTCAGTTACTCTGGATGAAGCAACAGTTGAAGGACTATGGGATTCAAGCTAAGGAGATCAAGTTGTTGTGTGACAACACTAGTGCCATTGCTATCTCTCAGAATCCAGTTCTTCACTCCAGGACAAAGCATATTGAAATCAGACATCACTTCATCAGAGATCATGTTGAGAAGAAGCACATCTGTATGGAGCATGTACCTACAGAAGACCAGCTTGCAGACATCCTAACCAAGCCTTTACCTGAGGCAAGGTTTAACAAGCTAAGGGAAGAACTGGGAATGATGGATGATCTTCCCAGAGATGCCTGACTCAGAGACTCACTGAGCCAGAACTGCTTTCTTCTGCACCAGAGAAACTAACATCAGAGAACCCCTATCTCTGTTCATCAGAATCTCACATCAGAGAAACCCCCTCCTCTGACCAGAGATCCCTATCAGAGAGACAGCAGATACGGTTGTGGACTTAGCAACATTTCGAGGTACGGGCAAGACCTAATTAATTGAAACAGTCTTTTACCAGAATACCCCTGATCGTTACTCTTCTAACGGAAACGTTTTCCGCCCGCATTTCATTAAATGTTACCTCGAAACCGCCAATATCTCAAACGTCCACTATTCTAAACCTTTTATATCCACCTTCTTCAACCTAAATCCCTACTGCTACTTTATCTCTCTCAAAACTGCTCTAGCATTCAAGCCTTCAGATCCTCTAAAACTTTCAATCCTCAGAACTTTTCGTAACTCATCTCTAAGAATGAACTTCCTAAACATCAACGACCTCACTAAGGAAGAAGCAAAGACCATCATCGCCAACATTGTCTCCGGCATGAAGGTCGACATGTCATCTCTACCATTACTTGCAGAAAACCAAAAGAGGATGACCAAGATTATCCAGGGGATGACAGACTCACAACTCTCAAAGGTTGTTGCTCATCCCTACGAGCATTTCAGCATCAAGGATGTGGCTGAGTTCTACCTCAACGCCACCATCTCAAAGACTGGCATTCACTCCCAGGTGCAGGGTCAACGAATTTCTCTGAATGCAGATGCTCTAAACGAATTCTTTGGGGTACAACTGAACTCCCAAGACCCGGAAACCACCAATCTTCTCACTCTTGATCCAGTGGAAATCTCCACTGAAGGATTTGTACAGACCTACTGCCGCCCGGAGGCCGCCGGACTGGACAAGCTGTACATGAAAAAGTTTTTGCTCAAGAAGGACTATGAAAAACTTGTCAGCATTCTGCACCGGTGCTTATGGTGCATAACTGCTTCAACTGACGAGATGAACAAGAACAATGCCAAGGCGATTTTTGCAGTTCACCATGGCATGAACATCAACTGGGGCGAGGTAATCTTTGGCTCCTTGACTGAATTCATTAAGAAGAAAGACTCAGAAACATGTCTATTTTCCACCAAGATGGGACATGGACTTCTCATTTCTGCCATCCTTGCTGCCCAAGGAGTTCAACTTAGGGATACCCTCCCAGTTGACCACTCCAAAACAATCTTCCTCACAGCCTCTCCTAAATTCAACACAGCCATTTCTGCTGAACTAAGAAGAGAGGAAAGGTTAGAGAAGAAGAGAGAGGAACAGGCTGCTAAGCCTAAACCTGCTCCTAAGAAAACGTCCAAGAAACTCAATAAGACTTCAAAACAACCTGAGCAGTCGCAGGCTGCAAGGGAAGTTAGAAAGAAGAAGAAAATTGACAGAATGTCAATACCAGAAAAGGATGCAACAGATGAGGTTGCATCAGAGTTGCCCTCCCCAAAAGCCACCAGAAAATCTCCTGCCAGAAAGCTAAAGCAGAAGAGAAGAAGAAAGCCAATTGTACAGAGTGGTGACTCTGACAACTCGAGCCCTCAACCAAAACAGAAGAAGAGAAAGACAAAGGAAATTTCACCTATCAAGAGATCAGAAGTTCAGGGGGAACTTGAACCAGAATCTGGAACTCAACCTGAGGCTGAACAAGAATCTGCACCTGAGTTGCCAAGTTCTGCTCTCTCACCAGAACGTGAAGCCTCACCAGAGAAGGAACCAGAGACTGACTACAACATCATTCCGCAGAAGCAGTTTGATAGAGTCTTAGCATGGAGAAGATGGAGAATGGGACCACTCCAGAAGATAATTCAGTTCTTTGATGCTTATGAGGAAGAAGAAGCTGCAGTTCTTCACTGGGTAGACACAGAAGATGTGTCACAGTGCTTCAACCTTGCTTTTCTCATCTCTGTCCTACAGAAAAAGAAAGAAAAATATCAAGGTAAAGCTCCAACAACTGCCCTGTCTCCTGAAAGGCATGTCAAAGCTTTGGAAGAAGATGAGATGGAAGAATTTGATGCATGGCTGATGGAGAAAAAGAGAAAAGAATCTCTCATCAAATTTCGTCACAGTGCCCATGAGGAAGGAGAACCCTCCACTGCAAATGACATTGCTCTAACCATGGAGAAGCTGATCAAGGAATGGAGAGAATCCATGTTCTCATAGATTGTTCTTGAGGTAATCCCTACACCTCCTCCTTCCCCTCCCAAATCTCCTGTTACTCAACCATCACCTTCCAAATCACCTTCTAAATCTTCACCCCAATCCCCTCAGAAAACCTCCTCTCCTACACCCTCTCCCACCAGAACTCCATCTCACCAGAAACCAAACTCCAGACCCTCATCACCTTGCAAACA